CGTTCAGAGTTAGCCTTCCTTCTAGCTTCTCCGGACCTTCTCAAACTCTAGTGACTCTGATGCTTTCTCCTCAAGGTATCAGGAATTCATCGGTGGCTCTTGTGGCGGAGGTAGGATCGAGCTGGGAGCAGGAGGCTCGGGCGATGTAAACGACTGTAATTGCCCGCACCATCGCAACCAGATCTAGTAGGAGTGCAACTTGTATGAGCGATGGCGCAAGTGGTGGCGCCGCTGAAGGAGGAGGTGCAGCGCCCTAGTCAACAGGTCGTGGCGATGACAAGAGAGGAGATGGAGCGGATGATAGTCAATGCGGTGGCGTAAGCAGTGCATCAGGTCACAAATCATACTTCCTATGCTGCTATTGCACCGACCACGGTGGCAGGAGCACATGTAAACACGAAGGAGGATGCAACTAGTTATAGAAAAGAAGGAGACCCGAGATGTAATGCCCTGTTTGTTTAATGGACTTTTCGGTTTATTATTTATTGTTATTATTATATGTATTAGGATTAATTGTCAAATTGTTTTATAACTTGCATTATTCCATATTTTATTGTGTGTAATTATTATTATTATATATATATATATATATATGTATATATCGAGCTTATTTTATTTAATTATCCCGGACGTCATGCGATCAAACCGAGCTTTTATTTTAAACATCGATTATTTCCTCGAACCTCAGTGTTGGCCCAATCTTCTGTTATTCTCGACCCAATTTAATTGTATATCTCGGCCCAAACTAAAGTCCAATATCGGTATCGTTAATTTTTTTTTCTCGGCCTTCTTAATATTTATCGAGACCATTATTAGCTATAATTTTTTTAGCCATAGAGCTTATTAATTTCGGCCCACGCATTAAGTAACTGACCCAAATGAATTACTTTGCAGCCCAAATAACCCATCAAATTCTGTTTAAAAACTCATGTACGCAAACCTTTTCTCCTTCTTCGGTGATTTCACGCCCAAGTATCGAACAGAGCAAAACCTCACGCCTCTCCTATCGGTCGAACCCTAAATTTTAGATTTTATTTTCGTCCCTATTATTTCCCCCGTCGACGAGAAAGCAGCTTCATCCCGTTCACCATATTTTTTTCGGCGAGACCTTCCCTTCCAGTCTGCTCCGTGTTCGGCGAGGAGTGCCCAGCCATCTCCGGCGAACCTTTTTCTGTCACAAGCAGACCGCTAGAGTCCTTTCCACGTCAAACAAATCTCGTCCGACCAAAGTTCAAGTGACAGAAAACCCTTCACCGGCGCGCCTTTCCCAGCCACGCAGCAATGCCGACACCGATCACGAGCAAGCAGGCCCCCACTTCCTTTGCTCGTTTTCCAGCGACAATCACGGCCGGCCCTCCTCCGCTGCCAGGCCACCGCATGCGACCATCGTCACACGAAATCGTCCCTGCTGCTTGCCGTTGATCACACAGACCACCCGTACATGTTCCTTTGAGTTCCATCCACCGGCGAGTCTCAACCTTCGCCCGTGAGTCCTCTTTGTAACCTGCTCCGCCCCCGTTCTCGCATTTCAGGCCACCGCGGGCAGCCGCTGCTCCTCCACGTGAACCGGCGAGCCAAACAACGTTGTCGAGCCCGACATGTGTACTTTCGACCCCCGAACCGCTCGTCTCGGCCATCATTTTGTTTGTTGTCGTGTGTTATTCCCGAAAACGGTACCGAGTTTCGATTCCCTTTTCGTTTATTCGCGTGTTTCGAGCTTTGATGATTAAATTGCTTATTAGGATTTATTTAATTAAAATTATATGGGATTATGTTAAATCCTATCGGATTCATATTAGGGCTGTGGGGATTAGAATATATGTGAGTCCTTGGCCTCATGGCAAAGGCCTTGGACGATTGGTCGAGTATTGAGCGGTTTGTGATTTTTCTGGACCGATTTAACTGCTTAATATTTGTTAAAATCACCATAAATCTCATGCTTGCCCAAATGCTTTGAAATTTTATATGTGATGTCCTGTGGTGATTATATATGTTTTGTAAAAATTTCAGAATTTAATTCCATCAGTAGCTATTTATTTAATTATTGTGATTTCTGGGCAAAATCGTATAAATTGCATAATAAATCGAGTTGTGCTCCAAAATGGCTGATTTTTGAATATGTTGTTCCTCTGTCATAGTTGTATGTTGTGTAAAAGTTTCATAATTTTTGGAGTTAGTTTGTTAGGGTAAATAATTATTTGTAATTTTCTGTTGAACTTCATTTTATTTTTGTAAAATCCATCCTTTACTGTAAATTGCTAAATTTTGTTGAGCATACTCATGTTTTATAGTATCATGTTGCATAAAAGTTTCAGAATTTTATAGGTTCGTTATGATATGTTTTTAATTTAAACGAATTTTCTGCTGAATATTGTCAGAATTTTTATAATTCGTGTGATAAGTGTTTAAAGCTGAATTTTTTATATGTTGGTATTCACATGCTGTAGTTGTGTGAGTGATGAATATTGGCAGTAAATCGATGAACCGTCTGATGATCAAGGAGTCCAGAAATTTATGGAAGTATTTAAGAGAAGTTTATTTTTGGTATGAATAAGTCTTAATTTTAATTAAGTCTAAAGGTCTGATTATTTATGTTATTATTTTGGCAGGACTTTGGGATTGAGGGGGAGATACACTGTCCATAATCCAAAGAGAAGGAGGATCACGACATTCACTTTCCATAATCGAAGATGAAGATGTTCAAGTGATTTACATTCCTTATCCACATTTGTCTTGGGTGAAAAGACTTTCCAAAGTGTGCTAAAGATAAAAGGAGGACGAGACCAGAGTTGAGAAGTACTTTTGATTTGAATTTTTGAATTAGATATTTTTTTCTTTCCTTGAGTGAAAAAGAGTGATATTCAGAACACTTTGTAAAAGAACGTTCGGAGGTTTTCGAACTAGAAAATCCATAAGGGAGTTGTGGTCAGATAAGTAGTTGTGTGAATCATTATTCAAGTAGAGTGTAGAGGGAGTCTATACTGTAAACCCTTGGATGATGTATGAGTTGTTCACATTAATGAAACAGATCTGAAGGGAGAGTGGGACGCTCTCCTGAAGGTTCAATTTTTAGTGAAAAACTGATTCCGCAATTGTTTGAATCTTCATTACTGTCCGTCTATTCGAATTACGTGCAACTCTGGATACTTGGTGTTCCAGTATCAAATTACAATTGGCACCAGAGCGGGTTTTCGTCTTCATTACGAAAGATCTTAGGACGTGTGTTACCCTTAAATCATGAATCAAGAAAGCGGATCGATGTCCAGGCCCCCGCAATTGGACGGTTCGAACTACTCATATTGGAAGTCTATGATGACAATCTTTCTGAGATCACTTGGAAAAGGCGTGTGGGAAAATGTTGAAAACGGCTGGGAGCATCCAGTCATGCAACAAGCACCTGATCAAGGTAAAAAAACAACGAAAGTCACGATTTCTAAACCTAAGGACAACTGGACTGATGCTGAGAAGCTTCAAGAAGAAGCCAACTATCGTGCCTTGTATGAGATTATGATGGCAGTTGATCAGACAAGACACAAGATGATAGTTCATTGCAAAACTGCAAAAGATGCTTGGAGGGTCTTACAGCATCAATTTGAAGGTTCAAAGGCTGTCAAAGCGTCCAGACTTCAACAGGTAACTCTTGAATTTGATGAGATCAAAATGAGGGATGAAGAAACAATTGACGTAAACTATGCAGATTATGTGATCTGGTAAATCAAAGTATGATGCTTGGAGAAGATATATCTGAGAAACGTCAAGTACAAAAGATTATGAGAACCGTCGTTCCCAGGTTTAGAGAGAAAATCACAGCTCTTGAAAGTTTCTAAAGAGTGGCGTCGTTGGATGTTGATGAACTTCTTGGAGAGCTCAGAACGTTTGAAATCAACAACAATTATGACAAAGTCAAAAGTAAGGGCTTAGCTCTCAAAGCTGCTGTAGTCGAGGAAAGAGAAGAAAGCAATGACGATGAAGGTCCGTTGGCAGATGACAGTGAGCTGAAATAAGCACTGGCTCTAATCGCGCGAAACTATGGGAAGATAAGTCAAAGCCTGTACAAGAACAAATTTGCTGGAAAAAAGGGGAACAACTTCAGCAAGAATGTGGTGCAGGACAAGAAAAGTAGTATGCCACTCTCAAAATCCGATTCACAACGGGTTGAGAAGGATCAATGCAGGAAGTGTCGAGGCTTTGGACACTTCCAGTATGAGTGTGCTAATCTTAAGAAGAAGATAAGTCACTGAAGGCAACCTGGGAAGATTCAGATGAAGAAGGAACAGACGAGCCTTCTTTGCACACAAGCAACTTGGCAGTCCATACCTCAGTCAAGAAGTTCGTGTGTCTCACCACTTCTCATGCTCCGACCAAGTTTGAAGAAAGTTTGAAAGAAACTGAAGCATCTGAGGATGAAGCAGATCAAAATGTGTGTGTAGATCCAGTACACTTACTTGCTATGGAAAAGTGTGCTCAAGCATCTGAAGCTCTACAGAAGCTTCAAAATGAAGTGTTTAGACTTTTAAGAGTAAACAGGGTGCTGAATGAACAAGCATCCGCCTCCACTGGTACTAAAGAGTGTGAACTGGATACTGCAAAGGCACGAACCTGCATCCTTGAGAGAAGTGTCAAGCTTGCTAAACAAGACGGAACGGAGAAGGCTCAAACCATTGAATGCTTGAGGACCAAACTATTCTCTACTCAGAAACTTCTTGCCGAGCGGAACCAGGAAATCGTGATATTGAAAAATGAAGCTGATCGGCTGATGAACGAACATGCTAGCATAGAAAGCAAACTGAAGGCAAATTCTGCTGAGTTGAATCGAACTGCAGAAGTCGTTCGGAAACTGAACAAGGGAAAAGCTGATCTGAATGAACTTCTTTCCTTGGGAAAACAACATGGTGATCTTACTAGAATTGGGTACACTGGTAGGGAAGACATTCTTGAGTCCTCAACTGGAACTTCAAATACAAAACATACCGGTCTTGGATTTGGGGATAAACTTGGAGTTAGAGGTGTGAACCTGCATGGGAGACCTTCCAAAAACGTGTTTGACAGGATTGTAAAAAGCACTGTAAGTAAACCTCTATATCCAAAATCTCCCTTGAAGGTTCATTCTTTTATGCAGAAATCTGTGAATAAAACTCACCATAACATTGTTCTTATCTGTCATTATTGTGGGGTAACTGGTCACATAAGACCCAAATGTTGTAAAATACAACATGATGTTTGTATAGGTAATGTTAGGGGTTGGAATCAGTCTGGCATTCCAGTGAAGGTTCATGCCGGAACCCAACCAAATAACCGCGTCAAAACTCATCAAGTGTGGGTTGCTAAGAAATCCTTCAACTGTTTTACCTTTGTTCTGTCTCTCAGGACTTTCTTGAAAGGTAAATGGTATCTGGACAGCGGCTGCTCTAGACACATGACTGGTGAACCTTCTTACTTGATGAACATTCAGCCCGGTTCAAATAGGGAAGTCACTTTCGGTGACGGTGTGAGCAATAAGGTTATTGGAACTGGATGTTTAAATTTGGGTGGAATACCTAAACTGTCTGATGTGTTACTTGTTGATGAACTGAAGGCAAATCTTTTGAGTGTGAGTCAACTCTGTGATCAAGGCCTTAGTGTCAGTTTCTCATGTGATAAGTGTTATGTGAAAGACAGTGAAGGTTCTTATGTACTTACAGGATCTCGTTCAACGGATAATTGTTATCTTGTTGATTTTAATGACAAATGCCTTTTCTCAAATGTGAGCGAACCTGAAATATGGCATCAACGCTTAGGACATATTGGATACTCTCACCTTGTGAAATTGACCAACGCAGGTGTAGTCAGGGGTGTTCCAAAGATTGTTGTGAAGGACCGGCCAATTTGCGAACCTTGTCAACTAGGTAAGCAAACGAGGACATCCCACAAGTCACTGAACCATATTGCTTCTAAACAGATCCTAGAGCTTCTTCACATGGATCTCATGGGTCCCATTCAGGTAGAAAGCTATCAAGGTAAAAAGTATATTTTTGTGTGCATTGATGATTTCTCTCGATATACTTGGGTTGATTTTTTGTGTGAAAAATCTGACACATTCTCTGCCTTTAAGTCACTCTGTTTGAAGGTTCAAACTGAGAAAGGTTCTCCCATAATAAGTATTCGAAGCGATCATGGAAGAGAGTTTGAAAATTCTGAGTTTGCTGAATTTTGTGATTCTCTGGGTATTAGTCACGAGTTGTCAGCTCCTAAAACTCCTCAGCAAAATGGAGTTGTTGAAAGAAAGAATCACACTCTACAAGAAATGGCCAGAGTCATGTTGAACTCCAAAAACATTTCCTCCAGATGGTGGGCTGAGGCAATCAATACAACATGCTACCTTGTGAATCGTGTGTACCTTCGTCGAGGTATTGGTCTGACTTCATATGAACTCTGGAAAGGTAAGAGTCCTAACCTCAGTCACTTGCATATTTTTGGGTGTAAATGTTTTATCTATAATGATCGTGTGCAACTTGGGACGTTCGATGCAAAATCGGATATTGGATTCTTTCTTGGCTACTCTAACAATAGTCGAGCGGATCGTGTTTACAACACAAGTACCTCCACTGTGATTGAGTCCATAAATGTAATCTTTGATGAAATAAATTCTCAAGTTAGTTCTTCTGTATCCTTTAATCAGTTTGAAAATGTTGAGGCATTGCAGGATACTCAGGGTGTTAAGAGTTCTACAGACAAGGAGATAGCTGAACCTTCTGTTGGGGATGCTGAAACATCAACTGACTACATTGTCCCTGCGACTCAAGAAAGTTCTGTGTCACTTAGGCGTGATCCTCCTTTAAGGGTTTAGAAAGACCATCCGTCCGAGCAAGTCATTGGTGACATAAACGAGAGAGTAACCAGAAACTCGAAGACGTCAGTCAAAGAACTTATGGGTGTTTCTCATTATGCCTGCTACACCTCACTCCTTGAACCCAAGAATGCTAAAGAGGCTCTAAAAGACGAGTGCTGGATCTTAGTCATGCAGGAGGAACTAGAGCAATTCACTTGCAATGATGTCTGGAAGTTAGTCCCTGAACCTTCCTCGGGAAATGTTATCGGAACCAAGTGGATCATCAATAACAAAACTGATGAGTTCGGAAATGCGACACGGAACAAGGCGAGACTAGTTTCTCAAGGCTACACTCAGACTCAAGGGATTGATTTTGATGAAACGTTCACCCCCGTTGCTAGACTTGAATCGGTACGCATATTTCTATCTATTGCATGTCTAATGAAGTTCATTGTTTATCAGATGGACGTGAAGTCTGCCTTTTTTAACGGGATATTACATGAAGAGGCTTTCGTGAAGCATCCAAAAGGGTTCAAAGATCCAAAGAATCCGAATCATGTCTACAGACTTAAGAAAGCACTGTACGGATTAAAGCAAGCGCCTCGTGCGTGGTATGAACGCCTTACCATGTACCTTCTGGAAAAGGGTTCAAGAGAGGAGGAGTAGATCAGACATTCTTTGCTCTTTGAACGAATGAGGACCTATGGGCTGTTCAAATCTATGTCGACGACATCATCTTTGGATCAACATCTAAGAAGCTGGTCAATCACTTTGTAAAACTTATGTCGTCTGAATTCGAGATGAGTGTCATCGGTGAACTTTCGTACATTCTTGGACTTCAGGTAAAGCAAGGTAAAGATCGTACTTTCTTGCATTAGGGTAAGTATGAAAAAAACCTTGTTAAAAAGTTTGGTCTTGAAAATGCTAAAAAATGTCCTCAAACTCCCATGGGCACTCATGTAAAAGTGTCCAAAGATGATGAAGGTACATCTGTTGATCAAACTCTATACAAAAGTATGATTGGTAGTCTTTTATATCTCACTGCTAGTAGACCTGACATTTGCTTTAGTGTTGGATTGTGTGCCAGGTATCAGGCTGCCCCCAAGAAATCACATATGAAAGCAGTCAAGCATATCATAAAGTACATTGGAGGTACAACAGAGTATGGTCGATTCTATTCTGCTGATACTAACTTACACCTTGCAGGTTATTGTGACGCTGACTGGGCTAGAAATCTTGATGATCGAAAAAGCACCTCTGGTGGTTGTTTTTACATAGGATCAAACTTGGTATCTTGGTTCTGCAAGAAACAAAACTGCATCTCCCTTTCTACTGCTGAAGCTGAGTACATTGCCGCTGGAAGCTGCTGCTCACAGTATGTATGGATGAAACAGATTTTATCTGAGTATGGTATGAACGTTCATTCGGCTCAACTTTTCAGTGACAACACTAGTGCTATAAATATTTCGAAAAATCCTGTCCAACACTCTCGTACCAAGCATATTGACATTCATTATCATTTTATTCGCAATTTGGTAGAAGATAGGGTTATTGTGTTAGATTATGTACCTACAGATGATAAGCTTGCTGATATTTTCACCAAAGCTCTTGATTCGAAACGATTTTTGTCACTGAGAAAATCTTTAGGAATGTGTGCTGTATAATTTATGTGCATTGTGTCAGTTGCATTTCTATAAATATATATGTACATAGTGTCTTTTGCATAAAGGATTTTTTTTTTTTTTTTTTTT